AGTTGCTGTCCCAGCCCATCAGGGTAAGACAGCTGGTGCGTCCGGGGACACTTTATTTACTTAGGGTTACCTCCGTGCCTGCGGACGCTCGAGGTAAACAAACCGTCTCAGCCCCCCCCAGCGGCTTATCCTGATGGCCTGGGAGCCAAAGTTTGCTGACCCCTGAATTATAGGGTCGGCTTATGAACAGGTTATAAAAATTTTGCATTTTTACTTATCCATCTTGGGGGGTCGGCTTATAAACGAACCGGCTTATGATCAAGTCTATACGGTAAGTCCAATTTACAAGTAACTGCCAGCCCTTCAAACAAGCTGAGATCAGAAAGGCAAGCTCTGTTCTTTCAAGCTCATGCATCACTACCAGCAATGAAAGTTCTACAGGCAATTCAACCCTGCTTTACGGCTGTGCAAGTGTTAGCGCCACTGAAGTCAATGCAGACCAAGTAGCCATGTGAAAAGCATTTCGTTTTTAGAAATGGTACAATGGTAAAGTGCCATGAGAAAGGTCCTTGAATGAAACATTTCATGGAAATGGTAATTTTAAACTAGGGTTTTTTTTGTTTATCTGTATTTTAACTTTTAGTGCACATAGCAAAGATGTCAAAAGAGAAACATCAGGATTAGTTGTAAGCCACCATTAACAGTAGCAAGCCTGGAAAATAGTCTTGGGCCAGATTAAAAACTTACAGCATGTGTGTGTTTGTATGGAGAGAAAGTTTACCTTTAAGGCTGCAAAAGAGGACAAACTTTAATGCAAAACTTGCTTAATTTCTTTTACCTTATAGGTTGTCATTCGATGCTGAGCAATTACAGTCAGTTTTTCTAGGAGCCCTCGTAATCTCTCCTGTGTAGCATGGGAGATCAAGTTCACAACATCAGAGTTAGGTTCCATAATGTCATGCCTTTTACCTGTGGAAGCAGAGAAAATCCATTACGTGTTTTAGGAGTAGCTGATAATTGAAATAATTAGCACAGCAGGTATTCTGTTCCCTCTGGAAGTCATACCCATTACGAATAAAGGTTTGGAGATTATGATTTTCCTGGTAAAGTCACAACTTCAAAGATCTTAGACATTACATTAATAAAACTTAGCCTGGAGCTTCAGAAAATATAGACATTGTTTCACTTAGCCTCTAGAATCATTCTCCTTGCAAGGTCATTTATAGGACAAAGTTAATAAGAACACAAATCAAGCCTTATGTTCGGGGGGGGAGAAATAGTAGCTGTAGAAATTAGTGCCATATTCTGTTAATTTCAGTAATTAAAAAAATAGAGAATTACATTTTGCCCTGTTAGACACTGCTTGTTAACAACTCATGACATTTATTTCAATGATGTTTTTTGCAATGTACTCCAGGCGTAAGAGCCTCCTCTCATCTACCTCTGACCAAACAGTATATACCAAATGAACCTAGGATTCCCTAGGTACTAACTTGGGAAATATATATCTAGTCCAATTGGGGTCATAATGCCATCACCTCTGACCTGTTCTCTCGGGTTGCCACTCCTCTCCCTGTTCCCTGATGAGCCCTACTGCCTATCTCCATATTTCAACAGCTGATATCGAAAAGAGAGACCGCTTTGAGCAAAGCTGCTTGAGCCGTACACCCGAAGCTAAGTGTCACCTCTGCAACCAGTTGCAGATAGCCAAAGAAGTATTCCCGTGGTTGACACAATATGTCAGCACATCTACACATAGGTACCTGGACAACCCTGACTTCTTTTTAAACAGACAGCACAGTTTAGCTACTGATAACCAATGCTGATATCAGTAAAAACAACGAGGAGTCCTTGTGGCACCTTAGAGACTAACCAATGTATTTGGGCATAAGCTTCCATGGGCTACAGCCCACTTCATCAGATGCATAAAGTGAAAAATACAGGAGCAGGTATAAATACATGAAAGGATGGGGGTTGCTTTACCAAGTGTGAGGTCAGTCTAACAAGATAAATCAATTAACAGCAGGATACCAAGGGAGGAAAAATAACTTTTGAAGTGGTAAGAGAGTGGCCCATTACAGACAGTTGACAAGGTGGTGAGAGTAACAGTAGGGAGAAATTAGTAATGGGGAAATTAAGTTTAGGTTTTGTAATGACCCAACCACTCCCAGTCTAGTCAGGCCTAATCTGATGGTATCCAGTTTACAAATTAATTCCAGTTCTGCAGTTTCATGTTGGAGTGTTTTTGAAGTTTTTTTTGTTGAAGAATTGCCACTTTTAAGTCTGTTATTGAGTGACCAGAGAGACTGAAGTGTTCTCCTACTGGTTTTTGAATGTTATGATTCCTGATGTCAGATTTGTGTCCAACCTATTCTGAAGGACAATCCCTCACTCTCACAGCCCTACAGACAGCCCCCCCCCAACCTGAAACAAATACTCACCAGCAACTACACACCACACAACAAAAACACCAACTCAGGAACCAAACCCTGTTACAAACCCCAGTGCCAACTCTATTCACATATCTATTCAAGGGACACCATCATAGGACCTAACTACATCAGCCACACCATCCCGGGCTCGTTCACCTGCACATCTACCAATGTGATATACGCCATCATGTGCCAGCAATGCCCCTCTGCCATGTACATTGGCCAAACTGGACAGTCCCTCCGCAAAAGAATAAATGGACACAAATCTAATATCAGGAATCATAACATTCAAAAACCAGTAGGAGAACACTTCAATCTCTCTGGTCACTCAATAACAAACCTAAAAGTGGCAATTCTTCAACAAAAAAACTTCAGGATTAGGACCTCATTCTGCTAGGTGCTGTACAAATGTGCGCTCTCTGAAGCAAACAATCTAACACAGGTTACGTCTACACTACGCAACTCCAGCTATGTGAATAATGTAGCTGGAGTCGAAGTATCTTAGGTTGAGTTACCGTGGGTCTACACCATGGGGGGTCGACGGAGGTCAACTGGAGAGCGATCTGCTGTCAATTTGGCGAGTCCTCACTAGACCCGCTAAATTGACCGCAGGTGGATCAATCTCAGAGTCGATCCCGGCTGTATTGTAGACATAGGCTGAGGTTGGGGGAAGAGACACAATCAAGTTTTTAAATATATGCACTCTTGGTATACGCTCCCAATATTATTCATAAATACATAAATAAAAATACATACTTAAGATATAGTCTTGCCCCAACTGCCCTCAGTCCCGCTCTTTAAAATGTGAGCCGAGTTCTTGCAGGCGTTGAAGCAAAAATGGTCTGAGGAAGAGGTCTCAAGGGAAAGCAGTAGTTTTTAGCATCAATGTATGCCAACAAGATTGCTATTCCTGAAACAGCTTTCAAGATTATCAAGGGCCCTGAAGACACTGAAAAAGGAGTATGTTGGAATGTCACCTTCCTACTAAAGAGATCTGTTTCCTGTGTATAAGCCAGTATGGGTTTACTTCTGATCATATGAGCAGAATCTGTAACACTTGTGTAAGTAGTACATATTTAATAGTGAGATTTCAGAGCTTGAGAGCTGTCACTGGGTTGGGGGAAGGAAGGCAATTATTCATACTTTCCTATGTTACGGGCTGCATCGGTAGAAAGCTGACTAACCAACATCCCGTTCCAATATGCCTGTGGGTAACAGATACTGTGCGGTACCTATTACAGTTCACAATCATAATTAAAAAGGTTCACACCTTCTGTTCATGCCTTTGCTGCTGTTGGAGCATTTCTTCTTTGGTTTATTTTTAAAACCCACCCAAAAATGTTTAGGACAGATTTCCTGATTAGAAGTTCAAATAAAGAAGTATAGCTGTCTTGTTTTCTAGACTAAACAGAGATTTATGAACTCAGTATGAGATTACAATACATTCTAATTTCATTTTTTAAAAGCGTGAAAATTGTTCGATGCAATCATTGAGCCCAGAATGCCAATTACGGATGCTTTGGTCTCACCTATGTCTAAGATCTTCTTTTGCAAAGCCTCTGAGGAGAGAAATGGCTCATCTGCACAAGATCGGATCAGTGTACCGACCACTTCAGAATTTGTTGCCAAGATGCATGCATTCTCTTCACTTAGGTTGACTCCAGCCATAGAAGTCACATCATTGATGTCATCTTCGTCTCTACCAGAAAGAAAGCCAATTGTTATTTTGTTCTTTCCATCACATCCTGAAAGAGCCTTTTGTATTGGTGTATTTATATACAAGTGTAAACTACCTGTATATAATCATCCCTATGCATCAGTGGGCAAACAGTCTACTACAGAACACCTTTGGAATGGAGATTGTTCGTAACACTGAACAAAACATTACTGATTGTTCTTTCAAAAGTTTACAACTGAACATTGACTTAATACAGCTTTGAAACTGTACTATGAAGAAGAAAAATGCTGCTTTTAACTATCTGAATTTAAATGAAAGAAGCACAGAAACTTTCCTTACCTTGTCAAAAAAATTTTTAAACTTCCCCTTTTTTTAGTTTACATTTAACATGGTACTGTATTTACTTTTTTTTGTCTCTGCTGCTGCCTGATTGCATACTTTGGATTCCAAATGAGGTCTGTGATTGACTGGGCAGTTCATAACTCTGGTGTTCGTAACTCTGAGGTTCTACTGTATCTTCAGTATTCAGTGCAGTTTTTGCCCCTTTTCATTTGTCTACTTTTCCAGCTAGGCAGTTTCTACATAATTTGTTTAGGGAAAAGGAGGCTAACAGATACTCAAACCCGTTTAATTTATTCTTAAGCAGCTGACAGACTTGTACTCCAATTCAATGTAATTAAGAAAAGGGCTAAAGCCCAGGATTATCAGAACAGTTAGTTTAAAACTAAAGTCACCACTGACGTTTCCTCCCTCTACTCACCAGTAGCTGTTGAGTAATTTCAAGAGTGTATTCATAATGTATTAGCAGAATAGAATTCTTAATCTTTCAGGAAATGTGCAAATTAGGCCTTCAATGCCTGGTAATTGAGTGCTAATTGATCTTCACAAGTACACTCCAATTCCCCTCTTCCTAATGACCACAGAATCTTTGGCTGCTGTGATCCCACTGTGGTATAATTACAGCTACCACCATGGACCAGCCTGTAAAGGGGGTTATGTAGTCAGTGTACCTATTAATACAGCATACACATTAAGCCACCAGAGGACTTAACAGAAGTTCATGCTGAAATTTGGTGCTTAGATCCTTCAAGGATGGGTTCTAAAGAAAAACTTGCATCTCCGGTAACATTTCATACTACTTAGTCCAAATGACACTTTTTCTCATCTAACTTGTAGTTCAGTGCTCAAGTAAGGGACTGACAGAATATTTGGCTAAATTATAACATGGTTTTCCTCATGTAGTGTAGCTCTACTGATGTATCCATTTCTCTAAATAGCCCTGCCAATTACTAGTTTCTATGATACATTCCATTAATATATTTCAAGTAGGGCACTATGTAATGAACTCCAGTTGAAAGTTAAAGGCACTCACACAATATAGCTATCAGAAGTTAGATTCTGGCTATCACCCTGAAGTATTTTCAAGTTATTCCATGTAGTGGTCGAACTGGAAGACTTGGCATGACAACATCTATATATAAAAAAAACAGCAATACTTTTCCACAGTAATTTCTCTTAACCCTTTTATACTAGGTATTGTGTTGAATCCCTGAGAAACAGCCCTTTTACTGGTCAGAAGTACATGGCTAAAGATGTTATCAGTCCACCAGTACATTGGCAAAAAAAATTACACATACATGCTGTTCTCTGCTTATCTCTACTTGAAGTTGAGATTCTCACAACATTTGTTAAAAGGGAAATGAAAGTCATGCAATGTAGATGTACTTCACTGTGTGAACTTGAATATATTAGACAAAAAGTGAGTCTCTGGCACCCTCTGGTGTTTGACTATGCCTGTTTTCCTCTTATTCAATCTTTTATTTACTCTATTTTACTGAAGGCTAGAAAGGAACACTTAAATCTATCCTACATTATACTGACCCTGGGCTACTAATCGAAATAAGCATATGGCCTTTAAATTCTACCAAGGTGAGACTGATAAGCTTGGTAGAGAGAAAGAAGCAACCTGAAGAGTGAGCAAGAATTCTACGAGCACTCTTAGATGTCAGAGTGAGACCAACAAATGCAAACAGCTGCCAGCAATGCATTCTGTGAAGGCCCCTCAACAGTGGTTTCTTGCTCCTATCCTTTGTCTGATAGGGTCCAAATCTGTTAGCCTTTCAGACAAGTGTCAAGGCCCATCTTTTCACACAAGTATTTGGGGAGGACTGTCTATTTGTGCAGTGGTCTATGGTTAATATAGTTACAAATACCTATAGAGCCATTTATATTTTATATATATATTTCAATTCTGTAAGAGCTTTTTAGTGCAGGGATGATAACGTAACAGGAAAAACGAAAAGGGAAGGGCCAACATTAGAAGTGGAGATGATTTCAATTGTTAAAGAAATATTTCTCGGGTGTTTTCTTGAAAAATGTGCGCAGTAGTTCCAGGGCACTCAACTGTTCCATGGCATCTATTGTAAAAACAGGGGCCATTGGCATATACTGTATACTCATGATTTTCTGAAATCCTATTATCTAAACCCCCACATTATCTGAATCCCAGCACGCGGAACAAAGAAGGTGTTCGGATAATAGAGCAGACACCCTCGGCCATGGGGGAGGCCACCCTGACATTGAATGGCTCTCATGGCAGCGTGAGGAGCCCCCTGAAGACCTGCTGTCATGGGAGGGAGCAGGGCTGTCCCTGCACTGCCACCAAGCTAACGACATCTGATCCCTGCAGGCACAAGATGCAGGCAAGGCTGCAGGGTCCCAGCAGGGCAGAGGAGAGTCCTAGCCATGGGTCTCTGCTCTGCAGCCAGGACCCACAGGCTCTCCCCAGCACCTTGCACCTGCAAAAATTGAGAGGGCAGGAATGGCAGCATAGGAAGCCCTCTGCAGCCCCTAGGTTCAAGTCCGATTTAAGTGGGAAGTGGAACTGCTTTTGGTAGTCTCCGTCTCCACTTCTGTTCCAATATTGATTTTCAAGAAGAAAATTGATTTTGTAGTTCTGAAATTTAATGGGTTACTGGGACTAAACTCTAAGAATTCTAGTGATCTAAAGGGCCAGGTACTTTGCTGGAGACTTTTACCTCTAACTAAAAGGAGCAAATATCTAAGAGGAGGTAATAAGAGATTCCTTAAAAGCTCCCAGCTGTATTAGGAGGTTACCAGTGCAGCCCAAATTACAGTTCAATGGTATCTGGCTATTTGGACTGAGCAGAGGTCATTTTCAGTTTAACCCCAACTATCTGACAAAAGATAACAGTGCGATAAGCTACTTAATGCTCATCTCATACAGCAAAGCATTGACATGCCTCCTCACTATAAAAGCATCATCATTAATACACAAAGTTATAAGGCCAACACTGTGATAAATAGAATGCTGATAAAAATCCAGACCCAACAGTACAATTCCCATACAATTAATCCAAGTCTCTCAATTTTCAGGTCAATGTTTTTAGGTTCTTCCCCCCACTGCATCATTAAGAGATCCATCAGAAGCCTCTAAATTATTTATTGCGGCATCATTCCCCGTATCTATACTGCTGTCTGTTCCTTTTGTTGAAGTCTTGTTTCCTTCAGCCACACAAACTTCCGACTTTGTTTATTTTTACCTGAAGGTTGTTGTTCCATTCTCTTTTATTTTATTTTTCTGAACAGGAGATGCTTGAAGCGACAGAATTTTGTTTCCTGGCAGTGTAATTTGTTTCAGAAAGGAACCTAAAAAAACATCAACATGCCACAATGAAAATCCAAGAAAGATGACTGCTTATTCAGTACATATTCTAAACAAAAGTCTTTGTTGCAGGCTGAAGAACCAATTATATCCATTTGGAAACCAGACACTCACAAGTACTATGTTCTACATATTTTGCAAGGCTAACAAATTAAATATTCCCCCACCCCTAATGAAACGGTGTTTCGCCATCTTATTGCTAACCTATGTAGTGTCACATATCCCACTGCGGGAATGAGCTGAGACAAAACTAAAACCAAAATTTACTAGTATCAGCAGAAGTCTCACTTAATATAATGAAGCACCAAAAAGAGTTTATAGAAGCAGCATCAATTTGCTGGAATGAGCATACTTCGAGTACTCAAAATAGTAAAACTACCTATCTTTTAAGTGAAATGATTTCTCAACAGGCAAGGTGATGGATAGAGTACGCCCAAGGCTCTGAGTATACAGTTCCAAGCAACTTCGAAAGACACCCATATAATTTTACCATAATTGACTGGTTTGAATACACTATTTCCCTTGCCCCTCTAATGTTACAATGAAGCATTTTCCCACCTTCCTGTTTAAAAGAAAACAAAAAACCCCAAAAATGCAGAAGTCCATCCCTACCTGCAGGAAACTGGTTAGTCTGAATTAGTGCATTTAATGGCATCCTTTTTTCGCCAGGTTTCTGGAGAGTCAGTGTTGCTGTTTGTGGAAGCGTGGCCACTTGTTTAACAATGCCTCCTGATGGCTGCTGGACTACCTGGAAACAGTATATCCAATATCAAACATGGAAAGAGCTAAATATAGAGAGACATGAATCCTATCAAAATGCTCATTCAACCAAAACTGCTCGGGGACATGCATGCATGTCTAGCTTTCACTTTAAGAAATACATCATACTCATGAAAGTTCAAATATATTTTTTGTCTTGACAGGACAAGTAAGCCTACCAGTTGTTCAAATTTGTAGTTAGCAACACTGACTTGTTTGGAGTGTTAAAACTGTTTGGACAACAGACATCTCACCCCTAGTCATGTTGCCTATTTTCAATGGCTGTATCAGAACAGTTTCTTAATACCATATAATTCATTGCACCAAAGGCCTTAACTCTTTGATAAATGAAATTGGCATTAAGGGCTATCAATAGAAGATTGAACTTGTTGCTATATGGATTCAAACTAACACACGATTCAAAAGAAAGCCAGCATTTTTAAATTCACAGACAATGCGTTTCATAACTAGTTCTTAAATTGTCTTTATACATATAGATAGCGGAAGACACTATGCATCTACGAAAGTGTTAGTACAGATGAAATTTGAAAACAATTTTTTTTCCTGCATAAACTAGTTTTTAATACATTAGAGAACCCCTCAAGTCCATACTTCTGCTGTGACTGACAAGCACTATCCAGCAACACTTGCATTGCATGCATTGGAGTTTATACAAGATAAAGAGCAGAAAATCATAAGCACCTCTTGGGCGTGCTGCAACAACAGTAGTAAAGGAGAGTTGTGTTGTACCAAATTGGTCTGACCCAGTATGGCAATTCTTATGTTCAAATAGATTGTTTTGGTTCGCTTTTCAGGGGCATTTTTGTTAGACGGGTATTTAAATAAAACCTGGTTAGCGTGATTTTGATGCTACATTGACAGCACCTGCATGAGACTTCACTTTTCAAAGCCACATACAAACATTTTCCAGACGCATCACTGTTTCCTCTCACTCAGAGCAGCTGATGAAGTCTGACATAAGCAAGCAAAAGTTTTATTAGTTACTCTGCGAACGTAGCTTTCCTTGCCAATGGAATCTGGCTTGCAGCTTCTAATCTAGATCTTTGCAGATGATATGGAATAGAAGTGATTTTTTTTTTAAAAACAAAAAAGTCCAAGAACAAATTGTAAGATTTTTCCACCAAGACACAGACAGTACGTCCACACTGCAGCTGCGAGCGAGTGTCCCAGCACAGGCAGACTGACTCATGCTAGCAGGGCCAGAGCTAGCACACTAAAAATTGCAAGGTGGACATTGGAGCTCAGACGGAAGAGTGGGCTCTCAAGCCCTCCCAACCTGGCACATAAGGAGAGGTGGATAATAGGACAAAAGAGGGGGTAAAAAGTCTTTCCTTCAGAAAAAGCCTGTTAATCAGAAGTGTTGCATCTAAAAGAGTTGATGTAAAGAGTGGGATATGGCAGAACCACCAGAAGAGAATGGATCAATTGACCAGAAGCAGGGGTCCCGGAACAGGGCAGGGGCCAAGAGGCCATGGCTCTCCCACTTTTTACTGGCCATAAGGGCGAGTAATGCAGGGCGGGGCTCAGGGGAAGAGGAAGCACAAAGGTGGAGGCGGGGCCACAGTTCAGGCACCTGGGCCCCCCTCCCCCCACTTTTAGGGCACTTCCTCTGCTCCTGACCAGAAGTATAAAGGATGTGCTGGCAGTAGAAAGACAACTCTCCACCCTGTCTCCTGCTCTCAGGGCTGGAAGTGCTGGGATGTATGAGGTGGAGAGGAAGAGCGGGTAACAACCCCGTTAGCCAATTAAGTAGTGTTACTGAGAAACTTCAGAAAGGAGACCCTGCTGGAAGGACTGCAAAAATACACTAGCTGTGTAAGAAGCTGAACCTCCACATTTTTCAGGACCTTGCACATGCTAAAGGACTGGAGTACTTGTGGCACCTGTGTGCCTTGGTCAGCAGAATGGCAGCCAGCAGCAGTGCAGAGGTTGACAAAGCAGGAAATAAAACCAGGATATAAACAGAGCCCTGTGAAATTGTTTATTTTTCATACCTTATTTTTGGGGAATTTCATTTTCTGCATGCAGGGGAGGCCTGGTCCTACTCCCCGGAGGGGCGTATAAGTGTCATATTTCATAAACAGCTTAGCCCCATAGTAGAAGCTATTTAAATGGCCAAGTTAAAAAGCAATAGGCTAACTTCACCCGTCCACCTTTCTCAGGAAGGGCCAGACCTTTGAAATAGCCAGAGTCTAGAGGTTTGAGCACTAGACACAACTAGGAACTCGAAGTTTGTGATGGATGTAACTTGACTCCCTGATGAGTGGGCAAATAGTTTAACCTCGGGGTTGAGCCACCGCCTACCCCAAATGATTAAATCAGGGATAATATCTCCTCATATGGGTGTTACGATAACTAAATGAATAAATTAAGAGAATGAATTATGATTATACACTGGTTAAGGCACTCACATGGGAAGTAGGACACCCAAGTTCAACTCCTTGATACAATAAATATTTAGTGCATAAGAAGTGGAACAATTTAAACAGGAGAGATTGAGACAGTCCCCGCCCCTTCCAAATACATTGTAGCCCCATGGTTAGGACTTTCACCAAGAAGGGAGGGAGACAAGTTCAAATCTCTGTGCCACATCAAGCAGAGGGAGGAATTGAACCTGGGTCTCTCATATCTCAGGTGAGTGCCCTAAACAATTAGCCAAATTGGCCTCAAAATGCCCCTGTATTTAGGGTATCTGTGATGCATTTTTCTAAGGCTTCTCCTTAGTTAAGATTCTTGAGAAAAAGTTAATATTGGAGCTTCTCCTTAAATGATATCACACTGGATAGCTTATGTACCTTGCTCTAAAAATAACCAAAAAACCCAACACACATACTGTTGAAGACCCAGGGCTGGACAAGAAACTCAGAGATAAAGAGAATCTCGCTCTTTAAACATAATTCTTTGGTCATTTTAATAATTAGTTGAGTTTCTTTTATAATACTAAAAAAACAGACAGGAGCTTACTAAAATAGTTTAGCTACTTAGCTCTGAAAGCACCATGTACTTCTACATGAGTTAGTTTGCAGATTTCAGTTCAGTCTGCAGTGAACAGGAATCCACACTACAATCCACAGTATCAATACTTCTAGGAAAAACCCTGGACAGAATCTTTAACATGGAGACAGGACTCCCTCACCTCTAGACTGTCTCTCTGCCTAAGGACTGAAATCTTCAGCAGAAGACCTATTAGGGCATTCAGCTATACCGACACTTGGCTTTTTTCCTGCTAAAGAAAAAATTCTCCCTCTTTTTGCTATGGAATAACGGTGACAGCATTAGAAGTCAGGAGCTGAGACCCCCCCCTCAAATCCTGTTGGGGAAATTAGCATACCTTGCAAGATCAGATCCCAAAACAAACCCTCCGCTCATGTTAACTACAACTACTTGACAATACCCAGATTTGTGAATTAGAACATTAATTAGCAGTAAGGTGTCTTCATCACTACACTTGCTCTCCCTTACGTGTTAAAACAGCTGCAAACCATAATACTCAGAGGCAATATATTTAATTTATCAAGCATAACAGAACAATGTCTCCGGGAAACCTGAAGTAGCCCATTAACTCATGGCGGAATACACTTATCTAAACATTTATACAACTTTAGATCAAAAAGCACAATCTTAGATCTGAAGACAAAGGCAGAGAAGTTTAATCTTACCAGCTGTTTCACTCTAACTGCCTGTTGAGCATGGACTGACTGTGCCACAATAGAGCTGGGCTGTGTAATTTTAATACTGATAGGTGTCCCAATGACTGATTTCATAGGCTGAAGAGGGGTTGTCGTGGTCGCCACTGCAGATGCAAAGACAGGTTTCACAGCCTGGAGAGAGGTTGTTGCCACTGCAGATGTGGGGACTGGATTTGCAGGTTGAAGAGGGGCTGTCACTGGTTTCACAGTCTGGAGGGAGGCTGCTGCTGCTGTCACCATTGTGGAGGGGACTGGTTTTACAGTCTGAGAGCCTGTGACCACTGCAGAAGAAGGGACTGGTTTTATGGGCTGAAGAGAGGTTGTTGCCAGAGCTGAGGTGGTCATGACTGTGGAGGAAGTTGGTGCTGCAGAGATGCAGGTAGAAACAGCTGCTTGGGTTGTAGCCTGCTGCTGAATACACTGCTGGATAAAACTCTGGGCATTGGGCATTAGCTGCCGTAGGGCAAGCATACTTTTCTAGAAAAAGAGAAAGACAGCAGCGATCATAATACTGTGAATACCTTTTGCAAGTTTAAGAACTACATTACTTTTCAACTAATTTTTCAAAGTTAATCTTGTTTCATGAGGAAGACAATAAGTTTGTTATTCAGCATTACATACAATTGCTGTCAAAACAACAAAACAAAACAGCATGCATAATACAATAGTTACTAGCATATAATGTGCAATAGTCAGAAGTTATCCACTGCTTCCCCCTCCATGGAATAAAGCCCATCTGATATTCAATTAATTAAAGTTTCCTTTTAATTAGTTACCTTTCATTTAGTAACTAGGCTGCAGTCCATGTTTCACAATGAGAATAATATAATTACACTGCTTTTGATCTTTGTTTCAAAAAACAGCAGCTTATTCATGGCATTGTGTTTTTTATTCCATTAAATATCTTATACAGAAGCAAAATTCTCTGACAAAGTCTAAGGCCTTGGCTACACTCGCGGATTCACAGCACTGTGAAGCACGAGTGTAGTCGCACCGCCAGCGCTGCGAGAGCTCTCTCGCAGCGCTGCAAGTACTCCACCTCTCCAAGGGGAATTGCTTGCAGCGCTGCGAGCAAGTGTGCAGCGCTGCAGGCGCTGATTACACTGGCGCTTTACAGCGCTGCGCTCGGGGGGGTGTTTTTTCACACCCTTGAGCGCAGCAAGTGCAGCGCTGTGAATTGCCAGTGTAGCCAAGGCCTCCGATTCACCCATATTCAGTTTTACACTTCCTGTAGTGAAATATGCCCATTCAGTCCAATTCTGATATTGTTCATATATGAAGTGTCATTTATAGCACATTTTAATCATTTATAAAATGTTGGGGTCCAATAAAGTGTTAACTTCATACTGGAAGGGAATAGCCCTACTATACTTTATTCTCCAAAATTAGCGGACAAAAAATTTACCTTACTTCTTACTCGAGTTACACATATTTAATTTTAAGTCTGAATAATGCATTATCTGCTTTGTTGGCTGGTGCATTTGGTTCAGATTTCCTAAATTAGATCCTGATAAATCATCTTAGTAAATGTCTCAAACTTTTAATGAGAACTTCAAAGAAAGCAGCCAGTGGAAGTTTCTCTTTCTAAGGGATCACCTAATTATGCAAATTTTAATATATGCTTCCACTATCGCACATAAGTGAGCTTCATCATTTGGTTAAAAAAGTATTCAAGTTTTTGCTCTATTCTACTTGCAAATCAGTTTTCCTTTAAAAAACAAAAGGTGTAAAGCATTCACTTAAGTGGCATGTGCAACTAGCATACTAGCATACTATTACTTGTTAGAATGATTACCATATAATAAGGCTTAATATTTCAATATGACTTCTGTCTTCAATTAGTATATTTAGCATCTTATGTTTATTTGCTTTGCCTCCCATCATAAGGCATAACCTTGCTCATTGTGAGAGTCTAAAGCCTGGTCTACACTTAAGTCTTACTGACATTACTTGGGTTAGTTAGGGTTTTGATTTTTTGCCAACATTGTTACATTGGCAAAAGCACTAGTGTAGATACAATTGCATCTGTATAAAGGTGCCTTATACGTTATAGTTTTTCCAGTTGAGGGAGCTGGGGGGGGAGGGAGAGGACTATAGAGGTATAAGCACTATTGTACAACTGCACCCATACTAGGGGAGGTTGCTGCTTTAATTATGCTAGTATATTGTAAGCATAGGGGAGGGTAATTTGTAAATTAAGTATAGATAATCTCTAACTATTAACAAGAGGATTATGCTAACAAATTGAGATGTCTGGCTACTTTTCACCTTTTGGTGGTTACAATCATAGAACTGGAAGGGATCTCGAGAGGTCATCTAATCCAGTCCCCTGCACTCAAGGCAGGATTAAGTATTATCTAGACCATCCCTGACAGGTGTTTGTCGAACCTTCTTTTAAAAACAGGGCTTTGGAGCTGTGCTCCAGCACTGCTCCAGCTCCAGGAAAAAACCTGCAGCTCCACTGCTCCGGAGCTGCTCCAGCTCCAGGCTCCGCTCCAAAGCCCTACTTAAAAATCCCCAATGATGGAGATTCCACAACCATAGGCAATTTATTCCAGTGCTTAACCACTCTGACAGTTAGGACGTTTTTCCTAATGTCCAACCTAAACCGCCCTTGCTGCAATTTAAGCTCATTGCTTCTTGTCCTATCCTCAGAGGTTAAGAACAATTTTTCTCCCTCTTCCTTGTAACAACCTTTTATGTAGTTGAAAACTGTTGTCTTCGCTTCTACAGACTAAACAAACCCAATTTTTTCAATCTTCCCTCATAGGTCATGTTTTCTAGACCTTTAATCATTTTTGTTGCTCTTCTCTGCTTGAGGTTTCAGAGACTAGAAAAATAGAAAGGAGCATAAACTCTGGCAAATTAAGTGTAAAAATATAATTAGGAAGACCAAAAAAGAATTTGAAGTACAGCTAACCAAAGACTCAAAAAGTAATAGCAAACAAATTTTTTTTAAGTGCCTCAGAAGCAGGAAGCCTGCTAAACAACCAGTTGGGCCACTGGACGATTAGGATGCTAAAGGAGCACTCAAGGACGATAAGGCCATTGCAGAGAAATTAAATTAATTCTTTGCATCAGTCTTCACCGTTGAGAATGCGAGGGAGATTCCCAAACCTGAGTCTTTTTTTTTTTTTTAAGGTGACAAATTTGAGGAACTGTCCCAGGTGTCCCAGATTGAGGTGTCATTAGAGGTGGTTTTGGAACAAACTGATAAAATAAAACAGTAATAAATCACCAGGACCAGATAGTATTCGGCCATGAGTTCTGAAGGAACTCAAATGTGAAATTGCAGGACTACTAACTGTAGTCTGTAACCTATCATTTAAATCAGTATCTGTACCAAATGACTGGAGTATAGCTAATGTGACGCCAATTTTTAAAAAGGGCCCCAGAGGTGACCCGGCAATTACAGGCCGGTAAGCCTGACTTCAGTACCGGGCAAAATGCTTGAAACTATAGTAAAGTCAGACACATAGATGAACATAATTTCTTGGAGAATAGTCAACATGGTTTTTGTAAAGGGAAATCACGCCTCACCAATCTACTAGAATTCTTTGAGAGGGTCAACAAGCATGTGAACAAGGAGGAGCCAGTGGATATAGTGTACTTAGATTTTCAGAAAGCCTTTGACAAGGCCCCTCACCAAAGGCTCTTAAGCAAAGTAAGCAGTCATGGGATGAGTGGGAAGATTCTCTCATGGATCGGCAATAGGTTAAAAGATAGGAAACACAAGGTAGGAATAAATGGCCAGTTTTCACAGTGGAGAAATGTAAATAGTAGTGCCCCCCAGGGGTCTGTACTGGGCCCAATCCTATTCAATATATTCATAAATTCTCTGGAAAAATGGGTAAACAGTGAGGTGGCAAAATTTGCAGAGGATACAAAATTGTGATAGTTAAGTCCCAGGCAGACTGCGAAGAGCTACAAAAGGATCTCTCAAAACTGGGTGACTGGGCAACAAAATGGCAGATGAAATTCAATGTTGATAAATGCAAAGTAATGCACATTGGAAAACAATCCCAACTACACATATAAAAAGATGGGGTCTAAATTAGCTGTTACCACTCAAGAAAGAGAACTTGGAGTCATTGTGGATAGTTCTCTGAAAACATCTAATGTGCAGCAGCAGTCAAAAAAGCAAATAGAATGTTAGGAATCATTAAGAAAGGGATAGGTAAGACAGAAAATATCTTATTGCCTCTATATAAATCCATGGTATGCCCACATCTTGAATACTGCGTGCAGATGTGGTTGCTCCATCTCAAAAAAATATATATATTTTGGAAAAGGTTCAGAAAACAAAATTTGGGGTATGGAACAGCTGCTGTATGAGGAGAGATTAATAAGACTGGGACTTTTCAGCTTGGAAGATAGACAACTAAAGGGGGATATGATATAGGTCTATAAAATCATGACTGGTGTGGAGAAAGTAAATAAGGAAGTGCTATTTATTCTCTCATTACACAAGAACTAGGGGCCACCAAATGAAATTAATAGGGAGCAGGTTTAAAACAAACAAAAGGAAGTATTTTTTCCACACAACACACAGTCACCCTGTGGAACACTTTGCCAGAGGATGTTGTGAAGGCCAAGACTATAACAGGGTTCAAAAATGAACTAGATAAATTCATAGAAGATAGGTCCATCAATGGGTACTACCCAGGATGGGCAGGGATGGTGTCCCTAGCCTCTGTTTGCCAGAAGCTAGGAACGGGCGACAGGAGATGGATCACTTGATGATTACCTGTTCTGTTCATTCCCTCTGGGGCACCTGGCATTACCACTGTTGGAAGACAAGATACTGGGCTAGATGGCCCTTTGATCTGACCCAGTATGGCCATTCTTATGGTTTTATGATCCAAAAGACCTATACAGTTTTCTTCATTGATTAAACTCCGCCCTAATTCTTAAAACAAAGTGAATCTACTATTAATAGCTACAGGAAGACGCTCCCATCTTTCAGTCCATATAGTTTTAAAAAGCTATGTAGAACTTGTACAAGTCAAAGTTACATTATACTGAGATTTAGAGACACTACAGCTGTGGACTTCTTGAAGACCTGAGCTGAAAAAATGTAGCTAGCCTACATGCCAGATGCATTATGGGTAGATAGGGTAAAGTTATGGTTGTTTGGATAATTAGTTACATCTTTAAAAGTGAGTTAAGAATTTTCTGACTTTCCAACGTATGTGTTTAACATACAACATTTAAAAAAAAATCCCATGCTTGAGACCACATCTGTAGGCAAAAGTTTATGCAGCAATGCTCATCCACCATGACTGATTTGAGAATGAACCATTGTCCTAGCCCGTGTTGCTATCCGTACTGAACAGTAAAACGAGTTAGCAATGAAGACATTTTTGTACGTTACTCATTTAAGAGTGATGGCATACTTGACACTTTTTTGGGATCTCTTTCTAAAGTAATTTAAAAGCTTAGATTTGTATCTAAAAAGCACAAAAAAGGTAACAGCTGAAATAAATGAGAAACTGGAAACCGCTTGTATCCATACAAAAGTTTACTGTGTTTGAACATTAATGTTAAGAACTGCTTTAGATTATGCCAATTCACATTCTGCTGAGTACTTCTCACCAAATCAAGTTTTATTCAGCATTATGTTAGCTAGTTGTGATGAAGTCCTCAGGGTTTCATCTACATGATTAAGCCTGGTCTGTACTGGCTGCAAAGTCATGGTTGGCAAGTCAGCTAACTCACTTCTTGACAGCATTCAAACAAAGAAAAGTTTTGTAGCATAGACCAGCCTATATGCAATTAACAATGAAGTGCACATTCCAGTTATTATGCTATGTTCATTTCATAAGCTGTGAAGTGAGAATTTATATACAGTAGATCCTCCATTACTAACTGACCAGTCAACCACACATCTCATATAGGACCAGACGTACTCAATCAGGCAGCAGCAGACACGAAAAAAAGCAAATACAGTACAGTACTAACTGTGTTAAACGTAAACTATTAAAAAATAAAGGGAAAGGAGCATTTTTCTTCTGCATAGTAAAGTTTCAAAGTTGTATTAAATCAATGTTCAGTTGTAAACGTATGAAAGAACCATCATGTTTTGTTCAGCGTTATGAACAATCTCCATTCCTGAGATGTTCATAACTCTGAGGTTCTACTATAAGAGGAAACTGTCCTAAAAAGAGTAATAGAGATGAAGTAATAGCATATTTTACTGTAATGGGACAAGCTACAATCCCACACTGTAAATCCACTGCAGAAAGCCTTTATTCTGCCTAAATGCCTTTGAAAAAATTATTACAAAAAAATCAAGAAAAAATGGGAATGACAGATTATATTACTGAGAGCTCACAAATGCCAAGTTTTGCATTAAGCACTGTAGAGTACAGTGGCACTGACGGACTCCAGGCTGAAACAGACAAGCTTACTGACAAGGAGTTCGAGGGTTGCCATTGAAAAATATGTATTAGCTCAATATTTGACAAATTACCAGCAGCCAAAGTACTACAATATGCAGGACAAACTGATGGCAATCCTCACATTCCCTCTAACCCAGTTCTGCCACTTCGCTATTATCCCCTAGGTTTTGAGGTCTTTGCTCTGTATTATGTCTATACTAGGTGGGCAGGTACAGTTCTGTGAAGTCTCATGCACACAATAGATTTGGACCTAAGTGCCTGTGTGTATAGCTGTACACAGAGATACACAACTGCTTTCATGAGTGGTGCAGGTGTTCACTGGATTTAGTACTTAAGTCAGATCTTTGCCTGATAATAGAATGAACCCTTTGGGAGAACATGATTCACTGCTAATAAAAAATTAGCAATTGGGCTTTTGATCAAATTGGCTGAATGGGGTTAGAGTTGTCCTGGACTTTTTTTCAGGACTTGTAGTACCCTGGTTGGGCAGTTCCTGGTGTAATTTAAGTAAAAACCAGTTTTTAAAAATAGTTTAACTATGGATAGCACCTAAAGCTAGGCAATACTTATTTCATTATATTATGATAGTATCTTTATTCTTTTTCCATCAGAAATTAAATACACAGCTTTATTCAGCTCTACAAACTGATTACAACTTTCACTATGTTTGACTGGGTATTAAGTTTCAGAACAGCTGCAAAAGGATTCTTCAAGAATTAGTGCCAAATATAATAAGAACAGATCCTAGAATTATATCAGTGAAAGCATAAATTCTGGGAAGATCTAAGTTATTTCTGTAAGAAGAGGGTATGTTTTATATAGGTTAGCTTTCTTGGCTACAAGTATTATTGTTGCACTCCCTGGAAACTGGATCTGCAAGCACTTTGATAAGTGAACTGAAAGGTTGTATATTTTCATTGTGGCTTCTTTAATACAAAACCCACGTCCTTCACTGAAATTCGATTCTGCAACTTATTTACTTTACTGATACTCATTTATAATAGAGATCCCGCTACCTGACAGCAGTAAGATAGAGGGAGTTGTGCGCAGGGACAAAAATAGCTTATTCTTTCTATAGCAGCAAAGTCACAGCTATTTCATAAAAAGCCTGTCAAGCACTAGCCCTCTAGCCCCTGCACATAAGATGGTAACTTTAAAAAAAGTTTTATAAACAAATATTGCTCTATCATCGCTTTAGATTAATAGTGAAAAAATTTTACAAATCCATCTGATCTGTAACTATTTGTGCTCAGTTTCTTTTGCATTTCTCTCTGCTCAGACAATGAAACAAACAGAAGTAATTGACTTCGTTTCACTATCAGGTTCTTAGCACTGCAATGCATTTCAAGCCCTACAATTGAATATTAGACAACTAACTTTTTATTAGAATTGTTTTTTAATTTTTGAAAGCTCTCTATTGATCATAGGTTTTATAAAACAAAAACAAAAAAATTAAGCACAAAGTGTAAGTTTTGGACCAAACACTAAAAGTTGGTTGGGTCACTGAAGGAAAAAGACGGTTTACAGTTTGTGATGTTGGAAGTGGGATGTAACAACCAAAAGAAAGGGATTAGTCAGGAAGTGGTTGACAGAGACAATATCGTTGCATATTTCCTGCTAACTATGTTTTTCTAAAGTTTGATTTGATAGTGGTTTTGCAACGTGGGTTTGAAATTAGCTCCTAATATTGTATGACAAACCTATTTTTTTTACAAAAAAAGTGTATACTATAAACTTCAGAACCACCACACAAACTTACCTTGAGGAAAGGAACTAGATATGGTTGTGGAGAAGACTTGAGTTCAACATACAGCTTTTTTGTAAATTCTTCTGGTTCAATTTTTGCTTCCTAAAGTGAACAAGAAAAGCTTTTTATATGAAGTTGATCCAACCATAAATAGGAGTAATATCAAATTCTACCTAAAAAGGCAAGAAAAAGCATCCGATTAATTGGAATTCCAAGGCACATGGAGTTATTGAATTCCCGAATTCCCAAATGCTTTTATTCATGTGATGTTTTTAAACCTATTATATTATAAATTAAATACTGTATTACCGAATTAATTTCATTTCATCTCTGATCAGTTATCTAACAGCAATAACGGCTCAAGCACCCATTACAAGCAGGCAGCAAGTGCTTTCTAAGAGAAATGTTACTTACAAATATGTTGACCCCTCTGAGTACTATCAATGTTGTGCAAAAATACCATTTAATATAATTTTGTATTTTCTGTAAAATAAAGGTAATTTATCTATACATGGATCAAGGTGGACTCAACTTCTAAGGTCTTAAAAAGCACAATTCAAAAGATAATTCAATAATTATACGCAATTCTCCTGTAAAACATACACTGTATGAAAGTAGAGTACTTAGAGGCCCCTTATAAAACATAATACAAAAAATAAACCTTATAATGCTCAGTTATATATTCTGCAGAGGCTAATGGTATCTGAAAGTGGACAGGCGAACTAACCAAATGACAGTTCTAGTATTTAGATTTTTTTTTCCATTCTGTTGCTTGATTTGTCTCACTGAGCTTGGGCATAGATAGGGCCCTACCAAATTCACGGCCATGAAAAACATCAGACTGTGAAATCTGGTATTGTGTGTGCTTTTACCCAATACTATATAGATTTCACGGGGGAGACCAGCATTTCTCAAATTGGTGGTCCTGACCCAAAAGGGAGTTGCAGGGGGATCGCAAGGTTATTTATTTATTTATTTATTGGGGGGGGGGGGGGGTCCTGCAGTATTGCCACCCTTTCTTCTGTGCTGCTGCAGGCGGCGGTGCTGCCTTTAGAGCTGGGCAGCTGGAGAGCGGGTGGTTGTTGGCAGATTTAAATAGTTGAAATCATGAAATTTACGATTTCTAAAATCCTATGACTGTGAAATTGACCAATTGGACCAGGAATTTGGTAGGGCCCTAGGCATAGATCAATGAAAACCAGGGCAGGCACTGCCACCAAAGGAGGCATGTAGTCTCTAAAGTGGGACCACAAGAGAAGAGCAAAAATGAGCAACTGCAAATCAAAAAAGAAGTCATAAAGGAGGAGAGAAAATTAAAGACACTGCAACTGACCGAGTAGAGAACAAGAGGACACAGGGGAGGAGCTATCCATCCACAAGTCAATTGTGAGGAGACGTCTATCAGGGAGAACCCGAGACCAACTGAGTTCAACCCTCAATCCCACATACTAAAACCATTAGATTACCTTGTGCACTGAATAGGACAAAGGTTCTGTGTAGAAAAAATAGCATGTGATCATCTAATTAAAGCCTGAATCATAATGCATATGCATGAAGGGGCTAAATTAAGGTTGCCAGAATTCAGGTTTCCCATGTATTTCTTAGCTTTAGCGTGCTTGACTTGACAACCTAAGTAATGTTTATGAATTTTTATGCATAATGCATAATTAGAAAAAACATAAGTAGTGATGGTGGTGGAGAGGGAGAATAAGCTAACTTTGCAAAGTGCTTTCCATATATAATGCCTTAAGTATTAAATATTGATACAAGAAGATTGTGAATAAAAAGAGTCTTACCAATAGATGTTGTACCAGATTCTTCACATTCTGTCCCATTTCTGGGGCTTGAGGTCCACTAGATGCCAGCTTTATTAATGTTGCAAGAAAATTCTTGCATTTCTTCACATTCTCTAGCATTTCCTGGTTGTGGAAGTCAGGAAACACTTAGTTAGACACAGCACTGACTTTGAACCTCAGCGGCTTAGAGAAAGTAATATTTTAAACTACTTGTTTGCCTTACTGTGGAAGTGTTGGGATGTGCTACTGTTGTGCCCTCTGTTTTGACAGAGATTGCCTTTTGGGAGACAGATGGTGCAGGAGGTCCTGTAACTGGAAGCTTTACAGGTGTTCCAGTACCCGGAGGTTTTACAGCAGTAACTGTCGTAACACTGTTAGTTATACCTGCTGGCTGAAAAGAGATATGAACACTTGTTTAACTGATACACTTTAGGAGTATATGGCATATGTTTGTGAGGTTGGAAAGGTAAGTAGTATTTTTCCTTAAGTCACCAAGTCAAACCATACGAGGACAAAAATTTATCAAAAACACATCTGCCTCAGACATTAAACTTGCAACAATAATCATTAAATGTTATGTGCTTTATGTAACTGCAATTTAATCTTATTTAGCCAAAACAGAGGAGAAAAATCACAGCCCTGTTTCTTCAATCAATATTGGAGAAGGTCAGTCTTAGCTTGTTGCTTGTGAGCTCTCCAGAATAAAAAAAAGTGAGGATAATCAACAATTTTTTTGAGTGAGCTGATGCTGCGATTGTATAAAGCTTTCACTACAGTGTCTAGGATACAACAGTCTAGGACTGTGTTGGAGCACCGGATGCCATTCTGAAAGACTGACTAGCAAAAACTAAAATAATACAATTGCCAGCTTCTACTTAAGATCTTAGAACTTAACACTTGCTGCTATGTTAAGAATAGAATTCAGCTCACTCACCGACAGTTGTCTTTCCTCTACAGTGGCACACAGGACTAAAGTAGTAAAAACTAATCTTTCAGTGAAATAAGCAGGCATGACTGGATACATACCAAGTACAGACCTGTTGAGTAAGGAGGTGCTATATTGGCTCTGTTTTAAGAGGTCACTTTTCAGAATCAAAAAGCACTAACATTTAAATTTATGACAAATGTGATCATTCCTTCAATTCCTCTTCTCATTTCTTTGCTGCAAGTGGGCATGTCTCCAGGTAGCTGCCAACCATCAAGCTGATCCACCTGATATGGAAGAGGCAAGCAGTTTCAAGAAAGCATGCCAGCTTAACTTCCTGCTGCTGGTATACTTTAACAGCTCTCTGCAAGATCTTTGCCACCACTGTCTCTTCCAAGGATGCAGCTGAACAGATCTATGGCCATAGGGAGGCCGACTGGGCAAGAGAATCCCAGAAACAGATGGACGGAAAGAGGACTGATAGGAACAGAGTACAGAACTGTCAAGTTGCAATGTTTTGGGTTTAAAAAAAAAGTTGCTTTGGAGCTACTCTTGTGAGTTTGGATATATTTATAGGTCAAGACAAGATCAGTGTTCTATAAGCTGAAGAGAGGGGGGTCAGGAAGTCTACTTTCCCCTTCCCCAGAAAAACTGATATATGGGAATAAGATTCTATCACCTGCCTCTCAATCTTCTCCACTACTCTGACACGATGCTCGTTCTTAGTCCAAGTAATGGAGAAATTCACATAAATGATAGATCTTGTATTAGGTAGCATCTATCCTGCATATTTGGAAAAGGTTCGTATGCGGAGCAGTTGCTGTCTTGAAATGACAGGACCCCAGCATGATGCTAATTAGATAGTCAACTTTGTGATCCCTTCTGGGGAGAATGAGAAACAGCCTGCACAATCTGAAACGGGGAGGGGTGCACGGGATTTGAGGTTTTTTAAAAAAAAAGAGCTGAAACATCAAAGAATAAGAACAATACCTCTGAAGACTGGACGGAATATTGAGTTGGTAATATTTATTGCAGAATATGTTGTGCCAATAGTTTTACACACTATTGGACTACAGTAGTTTTAGTACAGGAAAAAGCTAAACTAAACTAGCTTAGCATTGTATCTCTCCATATTAACCTTTTTTTGCTGCTGGCCCCAGGCTTTTTATGTACCGTATTTTCCGGCATATAAGACGACTGGGCGTATAAGACGACCCCCAACTTTTCCAGTTAAAATATA